TTAATAAATGATGAAAATCTTTTGTGCGCAAAATACACAATTAAAGAAATTAATTGATCCACTCATAATTTATCTCCTCTCTAATGATTCTTAAATAGCGATTTTGAGAGTTTATATTAGTTGAAATTTGAAATAAGTTGAAATGCTAAATATATATCCAAAAAACAAATAAAAAAATAAAAACGAGTAATGATACTATTGTCCTGGTTTTCTTAGCCCTCTGTGGAAGACGAATGGCGGGGGTTTCAGTGCTAAGAGGCGTCGCTCATGGACGTTCATCTCTTCTTCATCACTCTCAGGTATAATTCCCGCTTCTACATAGCTCAATCCTCAATCTCGGTACGCAATAGAATTCCCCGAGTGGGAGTTCATACTGTTTTTTTGTGAAATTTTATGGTTGAATTTTGGTGCAGTTTCCAACTATAAACAGATTGGATAAGCCAATGAAGCTTCAGTATCGAATTCGCCGAACTGGATTCACTGTTTTGGCCCGGTATTCGCAGACCCAGGAGATTTTCACCACTCGTCTTCAAGGTTTGTATCTTTTAAAAAAGTATTCAGCCTTGATTGTTTTTATGTGATTATTGGAGCAATTCAGCAATTATTTGGATGTTAATCATAGCTTCATAGATTATAAATGTAGTTTTATATCTGGTTCAGTATAAGTTTGAACTTTCTGCCTGTTCTTCTTCCCCCCCTTTTGTTCATCATCCACCATATGCAGCATTCATTTCTAAGGTCCAATGCTTCTGGACAGTTGGATGGGATGAATAAAATAGAATCTGTTTTAGGCTTTTAGCTACATGATTGGTTAAGTTGGCCATCAAATTATTTTGTCCAATGTGAGACTTGGGATGAAAAATGAAACCACATGATGGATAAAACAAGGAAGAACTAATTCTTACACATTTTCAAGTGAATTTTACTGTCATTTGACTGTTTTCTTTTGGACAAACCCGTGTGCAAGTATTTGGAAGAAATGTTTGTTTAACATCCTGAAAATTATTTTCTGCAGATCGTCTTGGGAACTTGCCTAAATTTGTGGAGGATATTGTTCAGACGTCCATAGATACAGGTCCACGTGGGGCTTTAAGGTTTGCTCAAGGTGTCCAAGCTGTAATTGGGGTTGGTAGTGAGTGGCTGGCCGATGTCTCAAAGGTGCCCTTGGACTCTGCTATGATTGTTAGGGGCCAATCTTCTTTGTTGATACAATTGAACTTTATTTTGTCGTATTTAGACCTTAGAAATTGGTGAATTATATCTTCCAACTCAGCTAAAAGGCTAATCTAGTAGTGAGTATCACATTATGTTATATTTAGCCTCAATACACCTCCCATGGGTAGTGCAGGGGATTCAAACTCGGGGCTTCCTTACTCTATATCACATTAATGGATGTTCTTCGACTTAACTAAAAACTTAATATTTTATATTTCTCTTCAACAGAAATGAATGGACAATGGTCTTACAGACAATGATTGCAAATTTGCAACGGATGTGACAATATATCTTTTTAATATGGTGTATTCACTTTGTTTCTGAAGGTGTACAGTCATTATATGAACAAAATGAATTTATTTGTTCACTGTAATTTCCATTATGTAAGCTCAGTTTGACCTCCCACCCCCTTCTTTGTCTCTTTCGCTTATCTTGCATTCACGTGATTCAGTTTATCTTCTGCAACTTAGTCTTTGAATGCTGATTGTAATACCTTTTTTAATAAAACAATCAAGTAATACTAATTCTCTGTATCTTCCTCTAGACTGCAAACTCATCCACTAGATTACCAACCGAGATGCAGCTTGGATTATTATCTCCCCTATATTTGAGGAAATTGTTCGAACGCATGGGTGCAACTTATATAAAATTGGGGCAGGTAAACTTGTTATTTTCTAATTCTCCTAAAGATTTCAAGTTAAACTCCGGTTTTCTTGCTTATTTACTGTAGTTTTGTCATGCAATACTGGTGGATGGCTTTAGTGCCTCCAAGACTATTTGATGATACTGAAGTAATTGTTTTCTTAATCATATCTGCATGCTTTATGTTTTTGATCCTTTTATTTTAATTGTCGTGGATGTCTCTTATATATCTTCGTCTTGTGATGATATATGACTTACAAAAATTTGACTATCTTGCAATTGCAGTTTATAGCATCTGCACCCACAATTTTCCCGCCAGAATATGTTCAAGAATTCCAGTACTGTTTTGATAGGGCTCCACCAATTCCTTATGAACAGATTCAAGCAATATTACGTGAGGAATTAGGCAGACCAATTGATACGGTTTTCGAGTATGTTGATCCTACACCAATTGCCTCTGCCTCTATAGCTCAGGTTCCGCTTTCTTTGATCCTACAACAACATGTCCTTTATAATGATGAGTGATCCTTGATAATTAAGTCCTTGCAAGTTGCAAGTGATAAATACTGAATATGATAAATGACTTGAACTTTACATTTCAATTTCCAGGTGCATGGGGCAAGGCTAAAGGGCTCCCAAGATGATGTTGTGATAAAGGTCTTGAAACCCGGGATAGAAGATATTTTAGTGGCAGATCTGAACTTTGTATACGTTGTGGCTCGCACTTTGGAGTTCTTGAGTCCTGAATTAGATCGTGCATCTCTGGTATAATGCGCATAAATACTTTAACATCTTTAGTACAATTCTTAGCTGGCAGGTTTTGGACATTTTAATTCAATCATTGGAATTGCTGACTTGCCTTGCCAAGTGCTACGAGAAATCTGCAAACTTCTTAATTGGCATCTAATCTTCTGTTTGGAAAATAAGTTCTCAATTGACTGATACTTTGTAGGGAGTCTTATGCTAATATTACATTAGGTATTTTCTTACATAATTTTTTAAAAGGTTGCGATTGTCAAAGACATAAGGGAGTCGATGCTTGAAGAAGTTGACTTCACTAAAGAAGCGGCAAATATTGAAGCGTTTAGGAGATACTTGGAAGCCATGGGTCTGACTAGGCAGGCTACAGCACCAAGAGTGTACAGGCAATGCAGCACACGACGGATCCTGACAATGGAGAGGCTTTATGGAGTTCCCCTCACTGATTTAGACTCGATAAACTCACTCGTTCCTAATCCCGAGGCCAGTCTTATAACTGCCTTAAATGTGTGGTAGGGTTCAGTCATAACTTCGATTCATTTCCCCAACTTGTGCTTTATAGTTACTTATCGTACAATATAATTCTAGTTCTCCATGTGGTTTGAAGGTTTGGAAGCTTGCTTGCTTGTGAGTCCTTCCACGCTGATGTGCATGCTGGCAACTTGTGGCTTCTTCGTGATGGACGCATTGGTTTTCTTGATTTCGGTATCTAAATCTTTCTTTCTTGGCCCTCGTTTGTGACTCACAGAACTTTTTGCAGTCTCTTTATGGCTTTATTTGATGTGGGATTACAAGATTGAGGTGTTTTACACAGGAATTGTTGGTCGTATATCTCCTAAAACGTGGGCGGCTATGGAAGTGTTTTTGACATCCATATCGACCGAAGATTATGATGCAATGGCTTCCGGCTTAATTGACATGGGCGCTACGGGCAAGGATGTGGATTCCAAGGCCTTTTCAAGAGATTTAGAGAAGATATTTTCGTCAATACAGGTACACACTAGGCTCTGAGCTTCGTTTGGGATAATTAGAGATAATGTTCAGGAAATACAGAAATGTTTCCTTAATAACAGTAAACTGAACCGAAACACAGACAAGAAAAAACTGCCGTTTTGGGAAATGAAGTGTGTAAGTAGTTGACATGCTGTCGTTTCGAGGATAATAATTTCGTTGAGAACACTATATGTATCTGGTTCCTAGCACTCTAGTGATATTAATCGATGCGTTTTCTATTATGATTTAGGAATTGGATACGGAAATCATTGTTGCAGCAGCCCGGGATACAAACACAAATGCAACCGCAGTCTCTGCCAATGTAGTTTTTGACGAGAGACAAATGAATGCTCTATTTCTCGATTTGGTAAGCTTTTCTATATCACCCTGATAACCCCCTAAAAGTTTTGTCCCGTCAACATTATATATCATCCCGCTCGGGTTGCTCTGTTGAAAGAATTCACAATCAACTGACATAGTAGTAGAGAAACTTGCTTAGGCAGACGCTAATAAATACATTATAGCACAAAGAGATGAACGGAAGACATGATCCAACTAGATCACGTTTAGAAAAAGAAATGTTCGGTTGAGTTTATGCTTTTATTTTTTTCTTCTAACCTCTCGTATCATTGCAATATTCGTATTATCTGTCACAACGCTTTATCTTTCTCGGTTGAACAGGTTCGAGTCAGCGAGTCTTACGGGCTGAGATTTCCCAGGGAGTTTGCACTCCTGATGAAACAGCTGCTGTATTTTGACAGATACACCAGATTGTTAGCTCCAAACATGAACATGCTCCGCGATCAGCGCATCAACATCACCCAGAATCGAGGACAAAGAATCATATACCAGTAAGGATGCTTAATAGAAATTATACCTTCTTCCTTCTTCCTCTTTCTTTCTGTAAATATTATAGCAGACAAAACACACCCTTTTTACAGTAAAGTCTATATATTAAATGCGATTGAAGAATTGCTTTCTCTAAAGATTATTCAGATTACAATTTGATTTCCTTTTGTTTGGGGTGACGAGGGAAACCTGTAGTTACTATCCTAAAGTGTGCACTAGATAAACTCCACCTTGTTGTCCTAGCTGACAAAAGGTCACACGGAGGTAAACTAACTTAAGTTGCCTATAAGTGACCTGTTCAAATCAAGAAAACTAATAGGTTGTTCTTGCTGGGAGTACAACTCGTAATCTTATGCTTACCACTGAGTCAACAACCTAACAAACTTGGTTGGAGTTGTCACTACAGTTTGAGTTCTTGCCCACAAAAGGCAAAATTCCATCGCTCCCATGCCCGGGCCTGACAGAACAATGGAAGGTTAAATTAACGTGTCTCGGCGTCCCATTAGATAAGAAAACAGATGCCCACAAAGAGTCTACCATGCTGGGTGTAACTAAGAGTCTGTGACTCTTAGAGTTCAATCTCGTGTCTTTGTCTACAATTTATCACCCACGACCAATTGAGATGCCCGTGCAGACACTAGATTGAATTCTTGATTCGCCGATCAGATGACGGTGCCGAAGAAAAGCTTTCATTGCTACCTGAATCTCATGCTTTCTCCCCAAGAAATGTTGTAATTAATTTCTCTAGCCAAAATACAAAAGGTATGAAAATCAAAATGTGCAAAATTTGACGAGCGACAAAACCCAGAATTTGATTTGCAACAAAATATCTGCACAATTTTCGCTTCTCCGTGTCTCTTTCTTTCTACATGATTGTTCATTATAGTATATGTAGTGTTTAGTGTTTGAATGAATCAACCAACCAAACTCTATCATCAGCTTGTGGCGGCGGCGCCCGCCGGTGTCTCCGCCATGGAGAGTATCCTCTTATCCAGCTCCTGCTTGCTGCCGCCGACCAACTTGTCCACCTGCCGCCCCTCTTTCAAGAAGAAGAACGTCGGCGTCGCTTTTATATCCCACGAAGAACTAAACTCCTGCATCCCGCACACATTATATATAGTCATATAGATATCATGTCATGCTTAACAGAATGGTATCGTTGGAGAAGAAGGTTAACTAACTAACTAACCGCTAACTTGTCAACGTCCACGGTAATAAACATCACCGTGGTATGCTTGTCGGCGAGGTCGCGGTACGCCGGTGCTGCTTGTCTGCAAGGATTGCACCACGCTGCACTGAAATTTACCAGCACCTGCATATCACACAGTTTTTCGCCCGGTTAATTATAGATGCCGGCAGCCGGAGAGAGATCAATTGATAAAAAACATTAGAGGCAACCCAATCAAGTTGATCTAATTGTTGACTTGGTAACTTTACAAGTTCGACTCCCAATTAGAGTGGTCTATTGACTGAATTGGTCAACCATGGACAACTAGACTGGTTTACTTCATCGTATCAGCTAGGATCATAAGGTCCACAACTTTATAAGTTCGACTCCAGTTAGAGCGGTCTATTGACCGAGTTAATCAGCTATGGACTGGTTTACTTCATTGTATCAGCTAGGATCACAAGGTCCACAACCTTACAAGTTCGACTCCCAATTAGAACATCCTATTAATTGAGTTGGTCTGCTATAGATAACTTAGACTGATTTATTTCATTGTACCAATTAGGATCACAAGATCTATAATCTTACAAGTTCGACTCCCAGTTAGAACGCTGATCAGCTATGAACAATCTAGACTGATTTACTCCATTTGACCTATTAAAATCACAAGGTCCACACCCTTAAATGATGACAACTGGTGACGAAAGTTTACTTCGCTCATACCCTTAAATAGTGACTGCGAATTTCTCTCGTCATAAAAAAAAAAAAATGAATTGAACTCACGCTCTGGCCATTCTTGTTTGCTTCAGAAATCAACTCTTCCCACTTCTCCATGGTCGTCACTAGGTGAACATTTCCCCCAGCAAGCTCTGCTGAACCCGTATTGCCTTCATCCTCGTTGCCCGGTCCGCATAGCTATCCACAAATTCATCTCATCAACACACATAAACATATAAACCTAAGAATGAAGAGTTAATACCATCTGAGGTCCTCCGAGTGGAGTGGTTTTGTCACGTTTAGTCCTACACTTTCAAATTCACCATCTGTGGTCCTTCAACTTTCAAATTTAACCATTCGCGGTTCAAGTTAACCACCCATGGTCCTTCAAGTTTCGAAATTTAACCAGCTATGGTCCTCTTGGAAGGACCATGGTTGGTTAAAATTTAATAGTTTAAGGACCATGGGTGGTTAACTTAGACCACGAATGGTTAAATTTGAAAGTCGAAGGACCACATATGGTCAATTTAAAAATTTAGGACTAAACGTGACAAAATCACTATATTCGGAGGGCCTCAGATGGTATTAACTCTAAGAATGAATTCAACATTCTTGTTTTGTTGTAAACCTGAGTCCAGCACTGCCCCATGGAGGACTAACAACTGAATCCTGCTTATATCACTGCACCTGTGACCTACATTCAATATTCCATCATATATATGGATTTGGGTAAGACGAGACATCGTCGTAATCTTCAAAAAAATAAAACTACACAACTACTCGAATAAAAAGATTTCATCTTTAGAACAAAACATCATGAAAACATAGAAACATTTAAGTGTATAGAACCTGGTTGTTGGTTTTTGTAAATACCCATTATCCTGAGATTCTTCACCTACCCCTCATTCCTTCCTTCCCTTGCATTATCAATCAACCAAATGAAGAAAGAAACACAACTACCCAGATAATAAAAAGTTTTCATTTTTAGAACAAAACATCATAAAAACATAGTATACTCCGAATGTAATTGTTGATATTTGGCTATTTGCAAATACCCATTATCCTGAGATTCTCCAACTACCCCTCCTTCCTTCCTACCTTCCCTTGCATTATCAACAAAATAAAGAATGAAACATAACTACCCGAATAAAAAAGTTTTGATTTTTAGAGCAAAACATCATTAAAACATAGAAACAATGAATCTGTTACCAGTATTTGCAAATATTCATATCCCAAAACTCTCCACCTACCCCCTCCTTTCCCCACCCACCTCATTAATTTCTCGTTCCCAGCACAGATTCTGAGAATCATAATTGGAATCCATTCCCAGAAACATTAAAACATAGACAATGAAGGAATCTTGGTAGCAGAAAATTATAAGAATCTGGAAAAAAAAAATGAAAAAGCGAAGAGAGATGGTGCGGTTTACCTGAGCGTCATGCGAAGCGGAAGTAAAAGTTTTTACTGATCCAACATTTTTCGGCAAAAAAGATGGTGCAAAAACACATACACATATACCAATTTTTTCCGGAGAATGTAAGGACTATGGAGACTTGTTTTTCTTACCCTCCCAACTCATTATTAGACTAACACAAGCCCATCAATTTTTTTTTTTTAATTTTTGTTACGGGTTTTTCTCATCACTTAAAAGAAGAAAAAGAAATAAATTCCATGAATTTGATAAAAAGTATATTAATAACATAATAAGATAGTAAGAGGTGTAAAATTTTCATTAGATTTTGATTTTACTTTTTTGGATGTAAATAACAAAGATTCAATAGCTCAACAGTGTCAAATATCTATAAGAGATCTGTTTACTTTGGGCATAGCCTTACATTGCGGTTGCCGAGGTTCAAACCATTATCTCTTCTCTTAATACTATCTATTGAACCAGTGAGGTAAGCCCGTACGAACAGAAAAATCCGATACTTGATGATGTGCATTACAACACTGGGTAAACTAGTTACTATATAATAGCCTACAAATTATAAGAAGGTAAACTCAAACTCAAAAGATCATGTACAACGAATTAGACCAAAAAAATATTGTAAAGTATTTATTGATTAAGAATCAAATCCATGATTTTCATGAAATTCAATTTTTACCAATTTAGCTACCTTTTCGGACAAATAAATTCTTTTTGTTATTTATAGAAAAAAAAACTGTATTTAATTAGGGAGTACTTTACTATACTGTACTTGTAATTATTAGTTTATTATCTCAACTGCTCAGAGAGCTCTCTATCTCTCAACGATTGACTTTTTCATTCATCTGTCTTCTTCTTTGAGCATTTCATTCTGTAAAATCGTTCTTCATTTCCAAGATACAATCTTTAGGGAAAAAATCAGCAAGTTGTAGGGTTTCGAGTTTCTTTAATGGAAGTAGCAAATGGGTCAGGGTCGGAATCGTCGTCTTCTGCGGTTCCGTTTCCCAGTAGCTCTGCTACGTTGACCCCACTTCGATTCCTTCGATCCCCGGTATCTTCCATACTGGAGTATTCCGGGTTTCTGCGGGTCAGGCCCGAGAGCCCGGAGAGTGTGGGTCTCATGGCGGATGGGGCTGCGGAGCCTGGGAGTAGTGGGAGTGGGGAGGTTTCGATAAGGATAATTGGAGCTGGGGAGCAGGACCGCGTTGGGGTTGAGGCGGAGGAGGAGGATGAGGAGGCGGCGATGGATGGTGGGGTTGAGGACAGAGGCGTAGGTGGCGCCGCCGTGGTCTCTGATGATTCCGGCGGCGACGGCGGAGGTGGTGGTGGTGGTAGGGGTTCTTCTTACCAGAGATATGATATACAGCGGATTGCCAGGTGGATTGAGCAAGTTCTTCCCTTTTCTTTGCTCCTTTTGGTTGTCTTCATCCGCCAGCACTTGCAAGGTATAATTCTTGATTATTTTGTCTTTTTATAATATGAATATGAATAGCCTCTGAGGATTAGAATCAAATGAGACCTGTGAGAACTGCAAACAACCTATGTGCACATTTGGTATTGTTTGATTGTGCATTCGCGGATAACTAACTAATTGTGCACCTTGAAACTATTATCCAAATACCCTAAAAAAATGAGGGGTCATTTTTGTAATTACGATTGTGTATCTTGTAATGCCTGATTGTGTATTTGTGGATTACTGATTGTGCACCGGGAAACTACTATCCAAACACATTGATTCAAGTATTTCTCTAAAAAACGCGGTGGCATTTTTGTAATTGTGCATCTTGTAATGTTTGATTGTGAATAAGTATTTGATAATCTGTAATGATCGTAGATTGGATTGATAATCATGTTGACTGATAGGCAGTGAGCTTTGATTTTGTGTTTATATGAAGGGAAGCACTGGTTCTTGTTCTGCTTCCAAGTGTAAAAGTTAAAGTTTTTAAGAGCTTGAACTTGATTGCTAGCAAGCATAACGTAATATGTAGAGAACTGGAAATATCTGCTTTAAGTGTTTTAAATTTGATACTCTTTAATGGGTTCTAAATTCGTAAATGATGACACCGTTATTCACCAGTAAATTGTAATATGTAAACTAGTTCTTGAAATCCCTCCTCTTTTGCCTTTTCCCCCGGTCCTACGTGGGATTTCAGGTTTCTTTGTTGCAATTTGGATCACTGCTTTCATGTTCAAGTCAAATGACATTCTTCGGAAGCAAACAGCTCTTAAGGTGCCATTTTTGTAACTTTCTTTAGTATAAAATGCTATGTAAAATTATATATTTGTGTCTTGTCAAGAAGATTTTAAAATGAAGGAATCCTGTCCTAATGGATAGTCTTATGCAGGGAGAGAGAAAGATACATGTCCTTCTTGGTTATTTTCTGGCCTTCACTGTTCATGTAGTTGTAGTCTACTGGTGGTATAGAAACGATGATCTTTTCTACCCATTATTCATGGTTCCTCCAAAGGCTATCCCGCCCTTCTGGCATGCCATTTCCATCATTCTCGTAAATGGTATCATCTCCTACCTGCTTTCTATGCCTTATCTCTCGTAAATGCAACACAATTATTTTTTCTGAATTTTTTTAAAAAATTTTTTTCCAGACACAATGGTACGACAGGTCGCAATGGCTTTGAAGTTGTTGTTGTTAATGTATTACAAAAACGGCAGGGGCCAGAACTTCCGGAGACAGGTAAACCTTATAATCATATTCTACAGAATTAAGTTAGAATCAGTATTCTATTTTCGGGATTCTCATTTTAATTGAATTCTCAGGGCCAAATGCTGACTCTGGTCGAGTACACCTTGCTGCTATACCGAGCAATGTTACCAACTCCGGTCTGGTATAGATTCTTCTTGAACAAAGATTACGGAAGCCTTTTTTCGTCACTGATAACAGGGTTGTACTTAACGTTCAAGCTTACGTCAATAGTCGAGAAAGTATGTTATTCTTAGTCGTTTCTGTGTCCCTGTCCTTTTTTCATCTCGTTTTAGAGACTATGCAAGTTCCTCTTTCAAGACGTCTTTTGTATGACCCTTCTCCGCTAATCTCTCCCTCATCATGTGTCGTGTTTCAGGTCCAGTCTTTCTTTGCTGCTATTAAGGCATTATCCAGAAAAGAAGTACACTATGGATCTTATGCAACGACTGAACAGGTACCGTGTTGGTTCGGATTAAAAATTGGAAATAAACAGCAGCCTTAAAGGCTTGGGCCAGAGTCACTCAACTGGGCTATAATGCACATGGGCCAAATCACACTAAAAGATTGAATCCAACCAATTAGCTAGTCTAACCCATAGCCTTATAAACTCATATGTTCTCTCTTATTTTATCAATGTGGACTCTTAACTAGAATTTCTGATTATTCACCGCAGGTAAATGCAGCTGGTGATCTCTGTGCCATTTGCCAGGAGAAGATGCACGCACCGATTATATTGTGTTGTAACCACATCTTCTGTGAAGACTGTGTCTCAGAATGGTTAGTTTCTTTGGTTACATCGTTTCAAAGCTCAAAAGTCTTGTCAGTGAGCTTCTTCGGTTTTTCCTCCCATATATCCGTATGTAACGGTAACCCTTTTTCCCAGGTTCGAAAGAGAAAGAACGTGCCCCTTGTGCAGAGCCTTGGTTAGACCTGCTGATTTACGATCATTTGGAGATGGATCCACAGGCCTTTTCTTCCAATTATTTTGAGCATTCGTTCTTGCCCCCAAAGCAAACTAACTTCTCTCTGCACCCGTGGGTTTTTCCTCCTAACTTTTCATTTTGTAGATTTATAGCGTTTCTGGTTCCTACAAGGAAAAGCTACTCCATAAATGTAATTTTTCGGGTTGCTGAGAGCTTAGTGCTGCCATGGAAGCGTGAAACTGTTCTTGTAATGCGATATCATTTTCGCAAAATCTTACTGTAGGGTTTTAATCTGATTTTCATTCTCCCCTCCCAGAGACCATCATTTTGATGACAAAACAAGTTGTATATACTATATATATGCACCTAGTAAAATGTAAAGTGAGAATTCTTACTGCTCACCTTTTGTGTTCCCCTCCCCACAATTTGCTAGGCCAGTTTGCTTTAGAGCATGTGCCAAGAAGATGGGCAAACCCCCCACCCCCCTCCCCCACCACTTTTTTGCCCATATTTATACTGTCTATGGAGTGGTTGCCAGGGATCTGATTGTTAGTGTCCTTCTTTTAAAGGGCAAAAGTAGGTTGGCAAAAAATGGTTGCCCCAACAAGGGCAAGCATTTCTTGATCCTGAATGCCACCACCGCCTCTGCCCTGGAGCTTTGGTGGGGTGCCCATAATAAGGTCAATTTTATAACTTTTCCTGTAAGAATCAAACCTTGCACCATGTGACTGTTGGCAAAGTAAAAGTATTAATTTTTTAAAATTGGTCGATCAGTTGAATTATGTCGGGAACAAAAATAAGCATTTCTTTTGTCCACAAAAAGCAAAATTTCTTGTTCTAGGGTTCCCACACTCCTGTTCAACAGGAAAATGGAGGGAAATCACGACAATTCAGTAACTTATTAGGTGGAAGCACCAGAATAAGCATTTCATTTGCTCACATAAGGCAAAATTCCCTCGTGCCAAGACCCCACAACCCGGCTCAATAGGATAGTGCAGGGGTAAATCATAGTGACTGAGCGGCCTATTAGGTAGGAGGATCAGTGCCTAGTGCCTATAAAAAAAATCCACCACATTGGGTGAAACTCTCACATTGAGACTGTCAAGGCTGAAGTAAAAGTGTCAACTTTTTAAAGTTGGCCAATCAGTTGAATTGTGTCGGGAACAAAAACAAACGTTTCTTTCGTACATAAAAGACGAAATTCCCTCGTCCCAGGGTTCCCACGCCCTTGCTCAACAGGATAGTAGAGGGGTAAATCACGACGACTCAGCCGCTTATTAGGTGGGAGCATCAGGACAAGTATTTCTTTTGCTCACAAAAGACAAAATTCCCTCGTGCCAAGACCCCACAACCTGGCTCGATAGGATAGTGGAGGGGTAAATCATAATGACTCAGCGACCTATTAGATAGGAGGATCAGTCATTTATAAAAAAACCCACCACATTGGGTGAAACTCTCACATTGAGACTGTCAAGGCTCAATCCGTATCCTCTGCTCATAATTTATCACCTAAGAACCAACTGAGCTAGCCGTGCAACCAACAAAACCAGCATTTCTTGTGGGAATGGAAGGGGATACTGAACCAACATTCTAATGCAATGGAGAATTCCTTGAACTGAGAATACAGGATAGTGTAGCAATGTGCAAGTGTGATGATTGAAATGGCAGGCACATATGAGAGAGTGGGAAATGGCAACCTGGATGAGCAGACTGCAGAAACACAAGATAGTGGAAACAGCCATGGTGCTCTCTGTCCTCTGACACCACAGCCCATAGGCACACAATCAAAGGGAAGCCTTTCAATGGGGGATTGGATTTTGGGGCTCTGAAAACAACTTCTGATGGGATGAACATGATTCCTCCTCATTTTTGTTTTGGCCCAAAGGTTTATCACACTAATGCTTCATTGGCCCCATTACAGCTCACCCATCTCTTCCCACTCTTAGAGCATCCACAATGCTTGGGGAGAATTGTGAGATAATGTAAGAGTGATTAGGAGAGAGAATGTGGGAAGGGAGGAAAAAAAAACAAAAAAATCAAAATCAAAAATTAAAAAACAAAAAAAAAATTAAAAAAAAAAAAAGAGTCAGGCGCGCCGTTCGGCGCGCCTGACGCGCCCGTGTGGGCGAGCTGCTGTGCACGAAACGCGCACAGCAGCTTCCTTTTTCTTCTCTTTCTTTTTCTTCTTTTTCTGTATTCTCCTTGAATTTGCAGGAGGAATATCTCCACCAATAACCTCACCCCACACTTGTTATTATCCCCACCCGAGATAATTTATCTGACATTATCTCCATAATATCCACTGATGTGGATGCTCTTAGTCTTGATCAATGTTACCACATTCCCCACTTTACTACTAATTCACTACACCATTATTTAAACCCTTATCTACTTCTCTAAAAAAAATTGTATAGTTGTCGGTATGGGTTTAGTTCAATGGTTCAGTAGGTAGTATTTGAGAGAAAAGACCAATGTTTAAATCTCGGCGGCGGCAGTGTGAGGATTATGCTCAAAGTTGGCAGATCTCTTGTGCGCACTAACATTTGGCCATGTCTGCTGAGCCATTGAGTCATCGTACTTTTAAGAAAAGTGATATTGTTAGACAGAGGCTAGTGAAGGGCCAAGTCTCCCTTTGTTCAGCAGAGACTAGTGAAGGGCCAAGTCAGGGAGATTGTTGGGCGGATGCATTATGCAGTTAAGGCTGGCAGTTGTTTGGACTTTGGAGGGAGAGTCAAGTCCAACACCATGTCTTTCGAAAATGTGGCGGTATAAGGAAATGTAATTCTGTTTTCGTTACTGGCTATTACTTTTGGTGTGGTGATAAGTATTTGATATTTTTCAAAATAAATATATAGTTGGCGATAAGAATATACATGAGAAAGTCTTGCTACTAATTTGGCTTATTATAAACTAAACAAATATTGGTAGGTGGGTTGTTATAATGTGGCTTTTTCTTGAATAATCTTTGATGGTTGTAGTCAAGAATGGAGGCCCCAAAGGTTCTGTTTGATAAAGTTGTGACAAATTGAGACAGCATCTTGCATTGATACTCACGTTACATGTTTCAAGTGATTTTAGTCCATTATTTGATTGTTACATTTTATCTAATCTTTGATTTTCAGGTTTGCAGTCACTATTTAAATATGTATTATGAATGATATAGACATTTTAACTAATTTTAATCCATAGACTGTTCATTAACTTTACGTTATAATAGTTCTATATTATATAAATCATTAAATCATAATTAGATGATATTGTCTTTTCAAAAAAAAAATTAGATGATATTGTGTTTATGAATATTTTATCCAGTTTATAAGATTTTTTTTATACAACGAGAAAAAAAAAAAAAAAACAACAACAACAAAACAAACAAATAAACATGTTATAAGAATCGTGGTCAAGTCACACTAACACAGTCAACAACCAAAAACAACCTCAATCCATAAGAAAATCCTCATACACTGACAAGTCAAATGAAATACTACTAATTCTTAATGCCATATAGTTAACACGGTAATTCACCATCTCTTTACACATCTCATGAAATAAGATTAGAGAATCGATTTCCAATAAAAAAAAATTTGATCAAACTAAACTACTTTATGTAGCATATTTGTGTAATACTGTTGCAAATAGGATGGCCGGCTATGCACCATAATCATTCTTATCATGGTTTAAATTAGGGGTGGACACTTCGGTTCGGTTTATCCGAACCGAGCCGATCCGAACCGAACCGAACTAGCAATAGAAAACCGAATGGTTCGGAATTTTGTAACTTGAACGGTTTAGTACCGAACCGAACGGTTTAGCAAAAATTGAACCGAACCGAATGCTATACAATTTTTTAAAATAATAATAATAATAATAATAATAATAATAATAATAATAATAATAAAGAAGTAAATTCAAGTTCCTTGATGCCTGTTCCGCCGTTCAGTTCTCATTCTTACTGGTACCGAACCTTAAATTTTTTATTTCATTTCTTTATAGCTTGTTTTTTACATTGCACTTTTGTTGTTTGTCGCAACTGTTCTTTACCTCACAATTATATCTAACTTGAGTTATATTTACAATATTCAGTATTTTCCTTAGTTTCATGTTTTTCTATAAATTTAATGTGCTTTACAGTCATTCTAATTTTGATTTCCAGTGCACTATAATTATTTTCTAGTACTGGAATATATTTCGAGTGCACTAGCAATGACAGATTGTGTCCAAAAAGTAACTATATAGTAATTGACATTTGTTCTTTTAATATCAACTATACAGATAGAAGATTATTCATCTTATCAATAAAAATATTCCAACTGAACCAACTGAAGAGTCGATTGTGCAAAAACGTTAACTGATGTTTGGTAATTAGTACTTAGTATTGTGTTTGAACTTTGAATTGCTATTTTGTTATATAATGTTTAGAGTTTGAATTTGGATTATGTGAATATGTATTGTTTGGTAGTATGTTCGAAAAATTAGGAAATGTTGAAATTTGGGGATCTTAAACCGAACCGAATTAAATCCGAACCGTTTCAAACCGAACCGAAACCAAACCGAATCCTAATGTTAGACCGAATGGTTTAACTTTTTTAAAAACGAAATCGAAACCGAAACCAAAAAAAACCGAACCGAAACCCGAAACGCCCACCCCTAGTTTAAATATTTTTTGAGAATCTTGAGAAGGTTTTTTTTTTTTTTTTTTTTTTTTTTTTTTTTTTTTTTTACTGTTATTGTAAGTTGTAATAAAATTATTAAGAGTAAAAGACATTTTTGGTCCTAGACTTATAGTGGCTTGGACAATTTTAGTCCTTTATAAAAAAATTTGCCATTTTATGGACATAGTTATTGTGGCGAGGACATTTTTGGTCCTCCGTCTATATTTCTGTTAGATAACTGTATGAGGGAGGGACAATTACGCCAATTTAGGCTATCTCTTTATTGTGAGATGGACGATTTTGGTCCCACAACCATGCATTTACTCTAACCCTCATTTATTTGTAGTTTTGCACTACGAAATGCTCTACCCACAACCATGCCTTTACTGCAACTTGGACTCTCCAACTCCTTCGAATTATGACCGAGAAGAAAACAAAACACAAATAGATATAATAGATAGAAGGAGATAGCCTAAATTGACGTAATTACCTCTCTCTCAGACGGTTATCTAACAAAAATATAGACGGAGGACCAAAAATGTCCTCGCCACAATAACTCTGTCCATAAAATGGTAAATTTTTTTATAAAGGACTAAAATTGTCCAAGCCACTATAAGTCTAGGACCAAAAATGTCTTTTACTCAATTATTAATTACATTGAAACTTTAGTTAATTGGTTGCAAGTGTATAAATACTATACATTTGTGAGAACGTACTAATTTGTACACAGTATTTTTGTACATGATATG